AGGAATCTAGGTATTGGTTTCGCCCTTTCATAATCTTATTAATCATCAAAGTTTGATTTTAATTGGATTGTCCAAGAATTTAATTGCATGCTTGATGCCTTAGTTCTTGTGCAATTGATTCTGAATAATCACTTGGCCATGTTTATTTCATTTTGCTTGGACTCTTGAAATTTTTATATTATTTAAAATTTTTTGATAGAAAATGGTGATCTTGTCTTAAAATATGCATTTTTTTTTTGTTAAATTGCGCTGTAGGTGTGTGTGATATGAAGATTGATCCTCAAAACTTCACACCTTATTAATCTCTATACAGGTGTGATATTGATTACTTAATTTCTCATTTAGTATCTTCGGCTGGAGACATACGAATTCAAATTGCACATTAATTTTCAAGTAGCAATTTGGATTGCCTTCTGTTTTTCTTCCCAACAGAACTATATGGTAAAAATTAGATACTTGATTAAGATATAGGATTAAGAAACAAAACATGTTTTTATATGTGAATAGACAAGCTTGACCATTTAAAGTTATTTACTGTGAAGTGTATTCATTGATTTGTTCATCCAAATTATACAACTAGTAGTTGTTCTGGTTCTATTGTAGTGATTCATCTCGTCTGTATTATGTTTCATTTTCTTTTCCCTTCTTTTTCGATGTGTAGATATTTTAGCTTAACGTATTCAAGAACTTAAATTTGGTTTTACAATTTTTCATACTTATGTTGACAGTGTGATGAGCTTGTCGAACAAGGTGCTTCGGTTGGAGAAACTCATGCAGCTGTAGTCAAGAAGTGCAAGTATACTATAGCAATGCCATCTGACCCTAAAGCTGCTCTCTCGGTCAGTAGGGATTACTATCTGCTTATTAGTTTATTGGTTTGAAGTTTAGATCTTTAACCTTGAGTGCTGAATTTATCCTAGTAGTTGTTTTTGACAAAGATGGGGTGGCTCATCAAATATGTGAGGGAAAAGGCTATATCGACCATGTCCATAGTGTTGATGCAGATACTTCTCTAAAATAGAGCGAGGTAATGAAAAATCTGACCCTTCTTCCTTGTTGTCAAGAATTTCTTTTGTTGTTTATGAAATTTGGTTCGATTCAGATTTGTTAATGAAGGTTCTCACTTTCTCATATTGCAGGATGAAAAGTTCGTGCAGGAATTAATTCCCTAACTTTTATTTTATTTTTTAAAATATGAAAAGTTATTTCTTCAATTTTGCATGTCTTTTAATCATATTGGGCTTGGAGAAGCAAAAAATTAAATTTTGTTTGGAAAATAAATTTTAAAAAAATGGGAAATCAGAAGTCCTTCAGACTTATGTAATAGCCGGCGAAAGAAATCTAGTTTTGTACTAGTTCAATCTATATGATGGGTAAACGGATAGAAATAGTTAGAAAAAATTACAGTCTACAAAAATTTGTTAGCATATGGAGAAGCAAATATTGTTTATTGTTTTGTTTCTCTTGAAATATCACTAATTAGTTTCTTTTTGTTTTCATTTATAGAAGAAGCAAATGAGATAGTTTGTGAGATAGATTACAAAGTATTTGTGAGCTCAAGAACAACGAGTTGTCGGATAATGTGTGGCTAATTTAGGTGTTTCTTGACTAATTTGGGTTGTAATGGACTTGTTGATAGTAAGTGAACTTTGATGGTGTATGAACTTATTGATGTTGTTCGGTTTTAAATTGTTGGTAAGTCATGTGGTTTTATTGTTGCAATGACGAGCTCAAGAGCAACGAGGTGTTGGATAATGTATGGACTAATTTTGGGTGTTTCTTGGACTATTTGGTTGTATGGACTTGTTGATGTAAGTGAACTTTTGATGATGTATGGACTTCTTGACTAATTTGGTTGTATTGAATTATTTGTATGGCGAATAGTCTATACATACCCCAACTTGGTATCATTAACAGGTTCACTTGGATTTTAATAAATATCTTGTTTGTATTCAATTGTTGAATAGGTTTGATGATTGATTGGCTGGCATTCAAATTACAGGTTCACTTGATATCATTTATTCTAAACATGGCTTGATGAGATGTAGTTGTGTTCAAATTGATGTGATAATTTCCTCCACTTTGTGCCCAAGACTTTCAGGGTTTCTCCGTTTGTTTGAGAATAATTTCATACATAATTTAGTTGCGACGTGGTGATACAAGTCTTAGGAAATGTATTTGGCTTCGCGAGGTTTGACGTGCAAACCCAGCGCGCGTGAGAGGTGGATCCCACCTAGATCACCTCTCTCACGCGCGCTGGGTTTGCGCGTCAAACAGCGAGCCAAACTGCATAACCAGATGTTCAGTTTCTTTGCTTCCTAAAGCATAAGCAAACACCAAATATGGAGAAGTAAATTGAATTTCGCAATTACAATTGACTCAAACAGAATCTGTCCAGTAGCAAAGATTTACACGGATTAATAATTATTTACCATATCCAAGCAGCAAGTAATTCCAGAAGAGATGCCAATAGTAACGTTATCACAAGAAGAAAATTTTCGCAGACAAGAAATTGTAGATAGAGGCAATTTAGGATTCAGCAACAGAAGAGTCTACTGCAACAGCCGCCAGCTGAGACGACCCCGCGGGGCCTTGACCTCCTCCATACCCGACTTTGATCCATTAAGACTGAAAAACCCCCATGAAATTCAAAGTAGGAGGTATACCAGTAGGAAAATTTACAAGAAATAATCTACAATGAGACAACTACTTTTGATAAATGGAGTGGTTTCTTCAGACATCTAAGCAGACATACAGCTGATAGGATAGATTATCAATCCCCGGTAATCGCCAACTCTTCTCAAGGAAATCGACATGGAGGAGTTGGCGGGGATGTTGCCGGACTCGGAGCCGCGGTGGGCCAGGGAGACGTGAGAAGAGGTGGGTGTTGTCGAGGGGGGGGGGGAGCTTGGAGAGGGCGTCGCGGGTGGAGACATCGCACTGGCGTGGGTTACGGAGGGGGAGGGGAGGGCCGGCGGGGGGAGTTTTGTCAGAGATGTGAAGGAGAGAGAAGAGGCGACGGCGAGATGACGAGGAGAGAGAGGCGGTGGCGAGGAGCGGGTTGAAGGGGAGAGGAGTAAGCGGTTGTGTGGCGGATCTGATGGAGGCGACGCGCGGTGGTCGGAGCTTGGGGCTGGAGGAGTGAGGGGAGAGAGGAGGGAGTTGAGAAAGAGAGAGATCTGTGAGTGAATGGGAGAAGAAGCAGAGAAAAATTGGTGAAGGAAGGAATCTTGACCGTAGATGTAAAACGGACGGCTAAGATTAACTCATTAGGAAATATTAGGAAATTTTTATTAGGAGAGGATCCGGATCCTTCCTTTTGTAATAGAGAAGAGCTGTTGCTATTTGTCTCGCGGCGGAGCATCACGCGGCGAGACAAAAGCAGCGTTTTTGTAATAAGAAAGGCAAAAAACGCTGTTTGTCTCGCGCGTGATGCATCACGTAAGAGAGGAGGGGGTCGGTGGGACCCAGATCATACGTGGGTCCACGGACCCCGCGCGAGACAAATAGCACGCTCTAAGAAAGGAGTTTCTAGGGTTCGGTTCTTTGTACTCCACAGTTCATGCATATCCTAAGCAGGTAGAACTATATCGAGCTGTGACATCATAAATCAACGAACAATTTAATTACGTGTAGATCATTAAGTAATGCATTAAGCATTTAAAAAAAAAAGAGAGCTTCAAATGGCTTTGCCACAGAGGGTAGTTTGACCAGACAAATACCAAAATCAGACACAACGAACACTAAATTATACCAAATCTCACATAACGAAACTCAAATATCAGGATGCTGAAGTCCGATCAGGATCAAAATAATGAAACCAAAACTTAACATAAAGCAGGCCCAAAATGTACGAACACGAAAACAAGTTTTACTACAAGCTCTTCACAATGAGATACCAGGCTGATCCATAATACAAAACACTAACCCGAATAACAAACAGTCACAAGTTCTAATTACATATACAAGGATAAGCAACCGAATGCAGTATTAACTTAGCCAACTGGATGGCGATGGCCTCCTTCTCTAAGCACTCACAGGTACTTCTTTAGGAGCCTGCACCGGTTTTTTACCCGCAGCAGCTGCAGCAGCATCTTTTGCAGGGGCATCTTTAGCCGGAGCATCCTTAGCAGGAGGTGGTGGGGGTTTCATGTGGGGCGGAGGATTATGCTTGAGCTTCACCAATATCTGCCTCATCCTTGAGAGGTCAGTGGGCTTGCCGGGCTTTGGCCCTTGGATTACTACAACTGATGGCTTTTTATCTTGGTCTTTCTTCCCTCTCCTTTTCTCTATGCTTGGCACCTCGTTAGGGATGAGCTCCGCGATGGTTTTCCAGTATTGTTTATCTGCCTCGGCGTGGAATTTCTCCTGACTGGTAAGGAATAGCTGCAACGAACAAACACGAGAGAAGTTTTACTTGGAAGAATACTAGATGACATGAAGAAAGAAAGTTCTCATACAAGGAAGTTGTACATAGCCACGTCACCTTTTCTTTTTCTCTGTTGTTGACCTTGTTTTTCTCGCAATTCAATTTCCTCTTCTCATGGAAAGCACGCTTATACTCCTCTGCTTCAATGATGATTTCGTTCCTCAGCTCCTTTTCCTTCCTTTCTTTCTCCTCAAGTAGAATGGCATTTTGGCTATGGATGGACAACAGTTGGTTCATGAATAAGAGACCACATTACATATACAACAGATAAGGATCTAACATATTTAATGGAAGACTTCATCAGCTCTCTTTTCTACTAAGGACATGCCAAAACAATGTACTCAAATCGATAAATCTTATGCATATCCTAGCAGTGAAGTAGCATATATATAGTTTCTAGAATCTGATTATCTGATGTCATATGATCACGCTACACAAATTTACAGTGGGTTAGGAAAGGCGGAGACCAAAGCAAGCATACAACAGAAAAGGATCTGAATATATAAGCTCTTAATGGAAGATTTCATCTGCTCTCTATCTTACTTTCAAACAACACGCCAACATAATGTAGTCAAACTGAAACTTAAAAAACTACAAAATGCAAGTTTCTTATCTCCATAACAGTACACATTGTTAACCTAACCAATGAGATTGTTCATTTTGCACCTTATTGATGCATGGGCAGAAAAAACTTGTAAAAACTTGATTATTGATTTTTATACATTTTCATTGACGACATCAAAATTTGAAGTAAAACCAAAAAATTAAAAGAATTTGAATTCTTAAGCACATAATCGTAAAAAGAAAATTAGCAGATGAATTACAGGAAACTCTACTCGAAATAAGTTTATTACATCTTGAGATACTGTTGTCAGGTTTCATGCATCCATTGATTTTAGGCAGTTTACTAAAGAAAATGAACAAGGTTATGGATTTAGTCCTATTATTTGAAACAAAGAAGGGCACAGTAACACAGTTTGGACCCGAGTTTCTAGAAAAGATTGCCCTTTCCATGTCATGCGGTTTCAGATGCACGAGTCCAATCCATCTCCCTCCCTTGTGTGGCTGCGCAACTGAAAAGTACTATAAGAGCTGAAGATTCAATCCTCCAAGGATCCTAGGTTTGATTCAATACTTTATTGGCATGAAGATGGACACCGGTATTATCAAATTTATTTGCTTTGCTGCCGATATGTTATAACTTTGGACATCCACTTAGTTTCAAGTGGGTTTGTTATGGAAAATAAGAACACATATTGGAGAAGTCCAAAGTTGCGCTGATGGTTAGTAGGATTGGCTATAGGAATCATATGGGTTTTGAGCCTACTGGCCAAATCTATCTCTAGTTTGGCGAAGTCTGCTTAGATTGACTATGAGAAATATGGCAAGAAGAAGGTCCATACCATTAAGATCAAAAGCAAATGTTGCAATCCGATCTGCCAGACCAAAGCAAGCTAACTCAACAAAACATAATCAATCTCTACCTTCCCTATAAAAACTAATAACTCCTAAATAACAACCAAGCAATTACAACACCAATAGCTCACAGATCTATTCTATAAGAATCTAGAACCAAAAACAACATGTGGGTTCCAATCCCACGAGTCAAATCTGTTCCTCTTGTGTGAATCTGCGACCAAGGTGGCACAGTAGCCAAAGCTTAAACACCCCTCCGAGGATGCTAGTGTTGCTTCAAGACTTTATCAGCATGAAGATTGGCATCACCTTTTAATCTTTTATAACATTTGGTTGCTTTGGTACATAAACACTATCGAGTTTTTGATGCGCACAATTCCTTTACACAGCACAGGGACACCATCTCCGTTAAGGTGCAGACCTTTTGGAAATCCGTTTGATTTCAAGTAGGTTTGATATGGGCAATCAGAACACATATTGGAAATAGCAAGTAAGATCTGGTTGATGGATATGTTAGAATATAAACTATAACCCTCAACCCTCACCATAACTTCGGAGTTGTGGTGTAATGGTTTGGGAGTTCAACATGGTGTCAGAGCAACCAACCTAGGTTTGAACCCCACTAGTCACGAATTTAATGTGGATTTTATTAAAATTTATACCCCTGCATGAGTCCAGGTTTCAGCTCATAGAAAGGGCGCTCAACCTGCAGAGGGGGGATTTTAGAATATAAAAATTAATACCCTCAACGCTCACGATGACTTCAGAACTTTGATGTAATAGTTATGGATTGTCAATTTGAGTCATATGGATCTCAAGCCTGCTAATCATATCTATTTTTAGTTTGGGCCTTCAAACGGACTATAAAGACGAGGAGCAAAGATGGGATCTAGGATCAAGAACAGCAAACCACAATCACAGTTCGTTCAAATCTTTATGACCACAAAATCGCATACAAATTAGGCGCAGATCTACGACAATCGACCCCCAAGGACATCAGATCTACACTCACCGGCGCCACTCCCGGAGAAAGAAGCCCTCCTCGCGCTCCATGTCAGTCAGGCGGCGGGAGGACGCGGCCGCCGTCGGCATCGCCGGCATCGCGGATCCAAAACATCGGGCCCTCGCGTAAGTCCCGTTGGACTCCGGAATCGAGAAGCCGTAGGTCCTCCGGCGACGGAGGATGCTGTCGCCGCCGCCAGCCCGCGCCGGCGTTGAAGTGTCGTAGCCCGTCCCTCGACGGCCCCGTAGCCGTCGCCGTCGTTGCTGAAGGGTCGAGAAGGAGGAAGACATGGATGCTGAGATCTAGGGTTTCGAGACCCCAGAGATTTTTTTTTAGTTAAGGACGTAACGACGGAGGAGTAAACGATGAGTCGCCAGCGATTTATCGGGCACTTCTTTTTCGGGATTGACTGAATTGCCCTTCGCTCTTTCCTTTCCTTTTTCTTTTAGGGGTTGTTTGGATTGAGGGGAATGAGGGTGAAGGGAAGTTAGGGGAACCATTCACCTCCATTCATCTTGTTTGGGAACACTTAGGAGGTGAAGTTAATTCACCTCCATTCACCTTGGTTCACCCCCTAATAGTATAAAAATTGTTACCCCCCAAATTGGGGTGTAACCAAGGGGAAGGGAATTCTCTTCCCTTCACTCAGTTTCCCTTAACTTCCCTTCACCCCCTACGAATCCAAACAGGTCCTTAATTTAAAACTTCTTTTTTTTTTCTTATTCGAGGAACTCTAAGGGGCTGTTTGGTTGTTATTGGTAAAGTTGTGTATTTATGACACAACTTGGAAAGTTGTTGTCCACCTCATCAATTTCACTTTTATACTTTTCTTTGTTTGTTTTTTATTCCATTGGAATCATAAATTGCTTGTTTGGTTTGCAAATGTAACTTTAATTGATTGTTTGGAAAGTGGTCCCTACACAAATGATCATATTGGTTGGAATTATTTTTTATTATTTTTTCCTGATTTCAATGTCAGTTTTCTCCTAAAATCATGTCTTTTTTTATGAAATTACTTTACAAGCCACATCAGCATATGAAATCACTTTACACTATTTTCACAACTACAAACAAACAATTAAAAGTGATGAAAGCTGACATTGGGACCCACTTTTTTATACTTTCCATCCTTTTACATGATAAAAACATACAACCAAACAGCCCCTACTAGTTGATATGACTTTAAGATCCGGGGATGAAGTCTAAAATGACTTTCTTGGTATCCCCAATTTTCAAGGGGCCTTACTGAAATTTCCACAAAAATAGACTAAGACTGTACACCCCCACCCCCACCCCACAAAAAATAAAAATAATAATAATAATAATAATGGTCCCCTACATCTTTTTAGTGTTTTGAAGTTAGTGGCTTAACATTTCTGTTAGCTTCCTAAGTAGTACACCTTAATTGGAGACCATGATTTGCGGTAATTCAATACGAATCTGGGGACCTAACAACAATGTCCATATACATATGAAACAATTCACCAGAACTGTGTGGTCCTAGTTGCAATATCAACAATATGAGGGAGCTATCAGCAAATGCTCCAGGTGTAACAAAACTAGACAAACCGAACCGCTTTATTCCCAGTCTAGAAAAATCTAAAAAAAAAATTCCCTTCTCGGAGAGAATCAGCGGTAGCGGAAATGGCCGACCGCTACTTCCCCAACGAGATGCCGGAGTCGCCGGAGCGCCTCCTCCTCCCTCTCCGGCCTCCTCCGCCTCCCCTACCCAAAAGCAGCGGAGAGATTCCTGCAAGCCGCCCTCAACCTCAAGCGAAAGGTAACTTCTCAGTTTTCTTTTTTTTCGTTGAAGCATTTCCTCAAACACCTTGCACGCGTAAAACCTTCACCTGGCTTTCGCTCACTTTTGTAGGCGGTGAAGGAAACGCGGAGGTCCAAGGACTGGACCCTTTACACGGGTTCGCTCGGCACGGCGTTTCTGCTCCTAAAGTCTTACCTTGTCACTAAGGACGCTGCAGATCTCAGCCTTTGTGCAGAGATCGTTGGCTCCTGCGAAGCTTCTTCCCGTGGATCCTCGTAAACCCCTGCGCTCTTATTTAATTACTTTGATTCCATTGTTTTGTTTGGTGTGCTTACAATTGCTTTAAATATTACCGTGGCTGATATATCGGCCGATATACCCTTTTATAATGATTGCTACAAAATGGTATGGTCTCCATATTCTTTACCGATTTTTGGCAAATTTTTGGGCAATATATCTTCGATATGGTTGATACATATGTTGGCTGATATGTCCTTTTATACGGCTTGTCTCGAAAATATATAGTTCTGCAAAATTTCTTTAATGTTTTTTTCCCTAAGCTTCACCAAAATTTTAATGATCCTAAATGTATATTATTTACATTTTTTATGCTTAGATTTCATTAAGTATGTTCCATATATCATTGATATTTCCTCGATATCCGCAATTCAATATTGATTTTGGTCATATGATATTTTCCCAATATCCGATATTTAAAACCTTGGCTTACAATAATGAGCCTGATGTTTCCATAGATTACTTTTAATAGGATACGAGTATAGATTCTTATGACTATGATTATTATTCTAAAGTAAACAGTTTGTATGATAATTGGTGATTCTAAGGCAATTTTGTTACGCTTAGCTTTACAATGTAAATTGACCAGCTATGGACCTAATGTTCAATGGTTTAATTGGGCAGTTTTGTTCAATGGTTTAATTGGGCAATTTTGGTTTGTAGGCAGGTGACTTTCATATGCGGACGAGCTGGTGTATGCGCTCTTGGTGCGGTGGTTGCAAAGTACATGGGTGATAAGGAGATGCTCAACTACTATGTGAGCTCATTTAAAGAGGTATATTTGTTATTGTATATGTGTGATTTTTCTCTCATGTATACATTTTGGGAGTTCCTGCATTATAGAGCCCCAAAATATTTGAAGTTGACATGGAAAATGCATATGTGGCTATTGCCTACATGTATGATCCATAATAGGAGTCAGTGTAGGAATTATGGGGGAAGTCGATAATAGAACTCGAATAGTAGAAAACTCCATGAATGTTATGATCTGAAATGTGATTGATATGGAAACCATTTACACAAATGTGGTGGTTTGTTATTAGACTACCCATGATGAAATGGATGGTCTGGTGGCTAGATAGCATGAACATGGACATTTATGGGACACGAAAAATTTCAAAAATGTAGGATACGGGAAACGACTACATATCTTTGTGTGTGTAATTTACATTAGATCAAATATTGAATCAAATGAAGAATAAGGTATAACAATAGAAGTTTAGTTTTGATTGCATGGGATAATACAATGGGTGTTTTTCAAATATTAAGTAACGGGTTTCTGTTTTCGGGTGCAAAAACCGATTGGTTTTGAACCCAATATTTACAAAGAAATTAGTTTAGGGTATAGGTAATAGGGATTCGGGAAATCAGGTTTTTCTTTGAACCACGGAGAATCCGTGTCCAACGTCCAACACGTGTCGGACACGACACCCAAAACGCCGTGTCTAAGTAACCTAGTATTGTAGGATTTAAGATATATATTATTCTATGAGAATCATATAATGCAAATTGTGGTAGAATCAAAAAGTTACAGTTTAAACTTTAAACTTCATGGTAAAGATATTTTTATTGAGGGGGAAAAAATCAAATGAGGGTTTGGATTAAGGGTCTACCTATTATCAAATGAGGGTTTGGATTAAGGGTCTACCTATTGCTACTAAATTGCACACCATATTTTCTAGGCTGCTCGTCGTCTTGTAACCTCATATGAGAAGTTAAAGTATCTGTATAGTGGGGGAATATTGCCCGAAGCAAATATCTAACCTTGTTTAACTCGTTTTAGGCCACACAGTGACATCTCGAGTTAATGTTACCCCTTGTTTTTGAAGTACAGTCTTTATGAACTCAAAGCTATCGATGAGAACAAGTCTAGTTTCTTTGAGTTTTCTTGACCGTGTTGTTTTTTTACCTGTATTTTATATGTTTTTCAGCACAGTCGGAATGTTGGATGTGTTTCTTGGTGTTGGATGTGTCAATTTATGTATAATCTTGTTACATATCTTGCAGACAATGTCGGTTACATGTAGCATAGAAATGTACATTCAAATTTGAAATGTGTAGGGTTGGTGATGGACTTGGGCGAGTATGATTTAATCTGATGCAGCTCATTCAGACAAAGCATCATTTAGACAAAGCCTTAAAGAAAAGCTCTGATGGCCTTCCTAATCCTCCTACATCTAATTTTACAAACCATTGAAATTTGTAAGTCTAAAAATGAATATTAGAAGCTTTTGAGATGGGTGTTTTGTAGGCGTCAAAAAATGCTTACAGACATCCAAATACCACCCAAGGCAAGAAGAAGACGATAAACGCCATTCTCTTAATCAAAGGGGATCATTCAAAGGAAGCGAGACAACACAGAAGAACAATGTACACACCAACAGGCAGCACACGGCGGCGCGACTGAGGCGCGGTAGGACATGGTGCCGCGGCTAAGGCGCGGCAGCCCATGGTGCCGCGGCTAAGATGTAAACAATGAGATATATCCTATATGATGAAATATATATGCAAGGATATATAAACTAATACAAGGGTGATATAATCAAACTACAAATGTGATAGTGTGCAAATAAACAATGCAAACACATAATATGATCACGGAGTTCGGACCTTCCGTCCTACGTCTCCGCTCCCCACTCCCGGGGAGAAATCCACTATCACAATCCGGTTTGGAAGCCGGAATTTCTACACACTCGGTTTACAAGTTCACCGAAAACTCTCACACAACGAACACTATGCAATCACACTCTACACCCTCTCAAGTGTTGGACCTAGACGTGTCTCCCTCAAGTGCTCGGATACCACCTCTCCCTAGGTTGGTCAACCGACGCCACTCCTCTTGGGACGATCCCCGACTCTCACCACACACTCCTCTCGGTGTACAAGTGTATTACAAAGTGAACTTCACAATTAGACACACAACAAATGATTGTTCTCTAAACAATGTGAGAACTCAATTAGGCACAACTCAATGTTACTATCTCTCACAATCCCAAATATGTTATGAATGCAAATACAATAAGCTCAAGTGGGTGTGTGTAACAATGAGATTAATCAAATCTAAACTCAATATAAAACTAGCTTTAATAAGATGATAATCAAACAAATAAATATAAAGCTAGAAAAGAGTTTAGAAAACTTCTCAATAGATGACAAGATATGGAGGGATAATAGTTGATTGCTCAAACTCCAATAGATGATCTCCTCAAGCTCTTGTGGAATTTTTTTCACAAACAAACTCTTGAAACAAACTTAAAAACCCTTCAACAAACTTGTAAAACTCTTTTTAAAACTCTCTTAAACATCCATAAGAAACAATGAAAGTTGAGGGCTTTTTATAGCCTCTTAAACCATCCACAAACCCCCAAAAACCGAAAATATCAAAAACTAGCCGTTACTAGCCGTTATAGGCTGAAAAGACCAAAATACCCCAAAATCCTGCATTCTGGAAATTTACGTATCTGGCTTTGTAAAATCAATTAAAAATAGTAAATCAGCTCCAAAAATTATGAAATTTTGTGGGAAGGTTATACACATGTAGAATGACATGTTAGAGAAATAATTTCTGAAAAAGAATTTCCCAGTTGAGATAAATAAATGTTTTAACACATATATACAGTTTCTGAAAATCTGCTGACATACATGATTTTGTAAAATCAATTGGCCATAGTAAATCAACTCTAAAAATAGTAAAATCTTGAGGGATGTTTCTAAACATGTAGATAAACATGTCAAAGAAAGAATTTCTTGAATATCACTTTCCATTTATGAAAACTCATCTGTTCTTGTAAAACATGCACGAACATGCACAAACGAAAAACATGATTTTGTAAATTCATTAAACATAACAAATCAATTCAAACTTGATGAACTTTGCGAAATGTTTATAAACATGAGACAAACATGTTAGAAAATAATTTTTCAATTTTCATTTCTCAATTGTGAAAACTCATTATTTTGTAATAAAATATGCATGAATATGATTTGTTAAGAACTTTGGTTTTTGACAAAAAGTTTAAACGCATTATTGAAACTTTATGGAAATGTCTTCATAAACATATTATGAACACATGAATATAAAGTAAACATGGTCAAAAAACAATATCACAAAGTTTTTCTCAAAATAGTCTCATTTTGTGAAAAATCCAATATGTGTGTGTATATGATATTGAGCTTAAAGTATTAAACACACATAATATAAACCTATACTAAATTTACCAAGTTTGATCTTGATCTTCATTGTAGCTCAACTTGGTATATCATGCGGATGAAGCTTGAACTTGATCTTTTAACTTTGAATTGCAGGCTTCACCGACATTGCCGCCAACCTCCTTTGGATATATCATTGAAGCTCTATATCCATCCATTCTCCAACAACGTTGTTTGTCTACAAAACATAGGAATGCACAAACACTAGACAAACAACATTAGTAGTAAATTGTTTGTAAATCATCATCAAAACAATGAAGGCAACAGTAAACACGAAATAGGTGCGTTAAAGATCGTGGGAGAACGCCTTTCAAGCCATGATGAACGTGCCTGCGAAACTACCTTCATTGGTTCGCGGCAGTCCACACTGCCGCAGCCAATCAGCCGCTGACAGTGTTGGCTGCCGCGGCCAAAGAGGGTTTATCGGGTCAGTTGTTTCACCTCCATTTCAACTGTTGTGCACTCATACCCCTATAAATACCTCCCTAGACACGAAATAAAGGAGGAGGGCAGATTAGAGCAGAGGAGGCTTGAGCTTTTGGTGATTTAGAGCAAGAGAGAGAGTCTTCCTTCTTCACAAACATCCTCAAGAAGCTTTTGGAAGAAGCTTTTGGCGATTCCTAGAGATCTAAGCTCTGACTTGATCTTTAGAAGAGTGAACATCTTACATCGATAAGATATTCGCTTTAAATTCTTACTTCGATAAACGAAGGAAGAATTCCTAAAACCTTCACGATTCAATCAGAATCTGTGAATCGGTGGTCCACGGGTTAACGCACCCCCGGCACAGGCAAAGATCCCACGCAAGCAGCGATCCAAACAACGATCCTGCGTTTGTTTCTAAAAAGTTATAATTTTCTTTTTGTTGTGTAAAAGGAGTCTTATAAAAAGACTATCTCTTTTGAATTTGTTGTAATCGACCGAAGATATAATGAATTCCACTACGAGATCAACTTTTGACGAAAACATGTTTTTCTTTTGTTTGGATGGAGCTGGTTTGGTGGTTTTGGACTTGCCGATGTTGGATTTTGAGGAGAGTTTTAAATTTTGACTCCAATGTAAATGTTTTTAAGGTGGAAATATTCTCTTAGATTTGACTGAATTACTCATTCAGAAACCACCTATTCCTCATTGACCTCAAAATTCCATACTTAAGTGGAACACATTCTAATTTTATTCTCTGCGATGCCATTTTGGTTTCGATACAGGTTAGGTTACCATCTGAAGTTCCAAATGAGCTTTTGTATGGAAGAGTTGGGTACTTGTGGGCATGTTCATTCTTAAACCATCACATTGGCGACAGGACAATCCCTTCCACCACAATGGTGAGTTAGTCCTACAATTTTTTTGGGGGGTGTTAATTGTGGATAAACCCCCAGTAGTTCTATTTTTGCAGATAGACACCAAGTGAGTTTTTTTGACTCTACCCTTAGGAGGTCTGTTTGTTAGAAAACAAATTTGACACTCTCTTAGGGTAAAAGAGTAAAGAATAATTCACTCAGAGGGTATATTTGCAACAAAAGAACTTCAGGATGTCCATCCACAATAGGGGGAAAGTGCAAGGGGTCTATCTGCGAACCCTTTTTTCCAAGCTAAATGACAGTTAAAAATCTGATTCCTTAGTCACATTTTCACAGAATTCTATAACAAAAGAAATTTTCACAAAGGGGAAAAGTTTATCCCACAAAAGAAATTGCCCCTTGATGTACGAATGGCACGGGAAGATGTACTGGGGTGCGGCTCACGGACTTGCAGGGATCATGCATGTAGTCATGGACATGCAACTGAATTCAGAAGAGCAAGAGTTAGTAAAGGGCACTCTAATATACATGATCAACAACCGGTTTCCTAGTGGCAATTACCCGTCAAGTGAAGGATCGGAGTCTGATCGGCTTGTTCACTGGTGCCATGGTGCACCTGGCGTCGCCCTCACCCTCACCAAAGCTGCTAAGGTAATAGTTCAAATAATATGGTCGGGTTATTTGCAGTTAGTACCCCAAAGTTTACCTTATTTTTAACTTTGATACACCCATAAGTTTGTTTTTGCCAGAAAATACCTCATAGTACAACGATATTTAATTTTGATACCTAAAACTTTGTTTTTGCCCAATAATATACTCCAAAGTTCCAACAAAATTAAACTCTGTTACCCCAAAGTTCAATGAAAGTTAACTTGGTTACACAAACGTTTTGGCTAAATTTTTTGTTAAAATTGGGGTATCATAGGTAAAATTTCTTGAACCTTGGGGTTACATTTTGGGCAAAAGAAGGGGTTAAAAGTGAGGTAGACTTTAGGGTAGTTTTTGGGCAAAAGAATACTTTGGGGGTATGAAAATTAAAAAATGGATTAAACGTTGTGGTGTTTGTCTTTTTAGTTCGGACTCTTTTTAGTGTGAGGGTGTATCCCCTTAGTACTCCCTAAATTATTTTATTAGCATTTATACCTCTTGATGTCCAGATGAACATTTTTTTGATTGAATTCTGGACAACCTGTATTTCCAAAGTTAGGTTGAAATATCACAAGAAAATAAATTAACTGTTGTCCTTTGTTCAACTAAAAAAACAAAGTCTCAAGATGATTGGCCGCTTGGGTGGGTGGGGGTTTTTTTTCGTTTTTTGTTTTTTTGTTTTGTTTTTTTGTTTTGTTTGTTTTGTTTGCATGACGTCATATTATGGGAGATGTATTGGCAATTGCACCTAGGTTTTACTATCTATTCTTTTGCCTTAAATCTCCTCTTCTTACTACCTTAGATCTTCGACGATCAAAATTTCTTGCAAGCAGCAGAGGATGCTGCACAAGTGGTATGGAACCGAGGCCTACTGAAGAGAGTCGGGATTTGTCACGGTGTCAGCGGCAACGCCTACGTGTTCCTCTCGCTCTACAGACTAACGGGCAAAGAAGAGTATCTCTATCGAGCTAAAGCATTTGCCTCGTTCTTACTCGACAAAGCTGATCAGTTGATCGCCGAGGGGAAAATGCACGGCGGTGATCGCCCGTGGTCACTTTTTGAAGGGCAGGGTGGAATGGCTCATCTCTTTTTCGATATGGTGCAGCCCTCTGAGTCTAGGTTTCCAGCCTATGAACTCTAGAGTTCTTATGGTTTGACTTAGTTTGACTCGTGCATGTTTAGTTTGAGTTGTACTGTTAGTTGAGTCTGTGTTGTATAAATGTGGTTGTATTATGTAGTGGGAGTGTTTGAGTACACCGAACTGTGTTTGTGGAGTTTTGAGTTGTATAAATGTGGTTGTATTATATACAGGGATATCTTGGGTCAGGGGACTTACGTATCCTTCCACGATGCTGGGCCTGGTCGCTGCGTAATTGTTAGAATTAATTTGAAGAAAATTCTCTCTTTTGAATAGTGTTCTTATCGTTACTCGGGGTAAATTTTACAAAAGCCCCAGGAAATTTTACCATGTTTCTCGTATAAGTAACAGAGAACAACTTAAGTAAGGGAGCTACGAAATTGATTCAGGTTCCACCGCATGAAATCGATTCAGGTTCCACCGCAGAGTTAGATCATGTTTAAGGCCGAAAACGCTGTGTTCGCATAGCGTTGTGGACTCTGAAACGCAGAGTTAGGTTCTGTATGAACTCCATGTTTTGGACCTGAGACGTAAAGTTGGGCTTTACATGAACTCTGCGTTTTGAGTCCACAAACTCTGCGTTTTGACTCTAGGATGCAGAGACGAGCCTCAGGCGAGCTTGGCGAGCTTCAGGCTAAGTCCAATGTTCCGGCGAAGTCCAGTCTTGCACTTCAGAACATAACTTGCTGCGAAGAACAGATCATAACTTTCAAACCGTAAGTCGGAATTGGACGAATTATATATGAAAATCAGCTATCTCGACGAGACAGAGCCAACCAAACCAACCACACAGGGTTCGGTTTGCACCTGTCCTTTTTGGCAAATTCCTTACGGTTTGAGAGATATTTGTGTTTTGATTTGAAGATACCGTCAATTGTAGTCTCTTTTGTTAGAGCGTTGCAAAGATCGTCACATTATAACCTTCGTCTTGGCTCCTTGAAAATATGATAGTTGTCAGATTGTCACTCCCGATGTTGATTGTGAAGGCTGTTGAACAGAGCTTTCATCGGTTGTTGTGAATATCGTCAGATTGTAACATTCATCGATCTACATGAAAGTCTTCAAATTGTAGCATTCTGGAAACCGTCAAATTGTAACTTTCATCATCAGTGTTTGATGGGGACCAGCTATCTACAGTAATTTTTAGACAGCCTACAACCACGCTAAAATTGGTTGTTTGTGTTTGTGTCGTTATTTTTGGTTTGTTTGGCCTTCTCTCGGCGTTTGTTTGGTTTGGTTTCTCGAAAAACATAGGTTTGGTGGCTTCCGCGCGCACAACATGAGATTGAGATTTTATTTTAATGTGTTATTCATTGGGACAATGAGATTGAGACAATCACCCCCACTTTTCCTAAATTTATCTCATTTCTATACAAACTTTTTCTAACCTCCAAAAATTACCCCATTCTTAACTTTGGGATAATCATGAGGAAAGTGGGATAATTTCACTAATTTATTAAATATCTAATATATGTTAATTGTATTCTAATATATAATATATCTTAATTATATTATATTATAAAATTCTATTATAATGTAAGATAATAAAATATTATATAATATTATCTAATATAACATTATTATATATCATTATTACATATTAGTATAATATTATTATAATATTACTTTATATTATTTAGTATATATTTTATTAGTTAGAATAAAAATTTTTTAAAGTATTTTTATGATATAAAAATATTGTATCACAGTATATGTGTTTATATATTTAATATATAATATATTAATTATATTATAATAGTAACTTATCTATATATAAATTATTATTTTCTATTTATACTTATTATTTAATTAATAGCCTTAAATATATTGTTAATATTATGATAGTTATAATATTAATAATATGTTAATACATTTAAAAATATGATAATTAAATATACATTAAAGTATGATGATGATATATATTATTATTATATATATATATATTTATATTATTATATTATATATTATATATATATATATATATATATTTATTTTTAATAACAATTTTTTAATTAATAATACGAACAATTATAGTATATTATGATTATTATAAATATTATAATAAGGGAGTCATGTATCATATTCTATTTAACTATAAATTATCTTAAAAATAATAAAAATATATTTTTAATAATAATATAATATTTTAAGTAATAGTATATTGAATTAAATAAAATATTATAATATTTGATTAAATATTATATTATTGAAATATTACATTAAATATATTGTTTATATATTATATTAATTATTATATAATATATCATATTATTATAATATATTATATTAAATTAATAATAAAATTAAATATAGTTATAATTTAATTAGTAATTAAAATATAATATATTATATTTTAGTATAAAGTAAAATAATGTATTATATTATAATAACATACCAAATAATGTACTAAACCAATTAGGTAAATTAATTTAGATTAATTGATAGATAAATTTGTATCTATTCCTCTATACAAATGGAAACCCCAAGATTTACTATTTATGCTACGAGTTACTTATTCATTGTAGCTATTGATTACTGCAATCAATCAGGTAAGCGGATACTGTAGCAACTTTTTTGAAAAATTACTGATAGCGTGCGGTTAGCAATGTAACATTTTTAGGAATCACTGTAGCAGCGGGGATACTGCTACAACATTCAAAAATATTGTAGCATTTAAAAAACTGGGCAAATTACTGTAGCGGGAAAAAAAGATATATGTCGCCCCTTGTACGGTGTTTATTCATATAGTTTTAATAATGTGTCACTCATCATTATCCCACATGATCTGTCAAATCAAAGCTCTAAATTATCTTAATTATCCTAAATTGCTTCCACTTTACACCAGCTCAAAGTATTTCCCAAAAGGATAAAATTGATTCCATTAGAACAATTATCCCTTTAGCCCAAACTTGTTCTAACCAATAACCCGCCTAGTTGTCTAGCATAGTTGCAATTAAATTATTTAGAGCATGCTCTGGGAAGTGCCAACTTATCTCTTAGATGTGACATAATAATGCCATAAAATGCTAATGCAATAAAAGAAGAAAATGACTTCAGAGTTCAAAATTCCGCATCTGGTATTGATGACCCGAGACATTGCTTTCTCATGTGAAAACTCAAGTAATAAAGGAAGTGGCGTCTAACCTGCGACGTTCTATTTGTTTCAGGTTTTTGCACGGCGCCCCAATAATTGTATATATATTTGTGTGCCTTTCCTTGTACGCTCATATTTATTTGATTCCCCTTCTAAATTGCCTTCTTTCACCCAAGTTTACATCTAAATTTGAACTAATTATTTTTTTTTGAAAATATGTCATTCTACCATTAAATAGATTAAACATTAAGAATTATTAATAATCTCAAAATCTAATATGTCTCTTGGTTAAATTCTATTTAATTTATAAGCTAATATAAATTACTAAATAAACGATCTAATCAAATTTGACAATTAGTTTACACGAATAATAATCCGAACTTTTTATATAATTATTTTTTCACTTCGGTCCCGTTTGACAAAGGTTAAGGAAGAGGGCGTTAATAGAAGAATTAATGTACTTAGGCTCATTCGATAATTGCAGGACTACAATTATTAAACTCGTTAAATAAGTTTATTTTAGCCAATTGTAAATCAGTTTTAATGTTTTGGAATATAACAATGATTTTGACTATTTTCTTTATAATTAGAAGGGTAAATCTGTATCCTTCTAATAGGAGTATAGTAACCCTCATTTTGAGGGGTTTAACTCATTATTAATCCTTGTAGAAGCGGACTCCGGCGACCTCAAGCTCGCCTCCGGAAACTCGACGGTCATCTGGCAGTCCTTCGATCATCCGATCGACACCGTCCTCGAGAACCAAAACCTCACCTTGGGCCAAAATCTCAGATCCGGACCCTACAATTTCTCGCTGCAGGGCGAGGGAAACCTAACCCTAAATTGGGGCCAGGGCAACTCCGTGATCACGTACTACAACAAGGGGCTCAACAGCCTCAACTCTAGTTTCGGCAACGCCACGCTGAATTCCCCTGTTATCGCCCTTCAGTCCAATGGGATCCTCTCGCTGATCGATAGCTCGCTGCCGAGCTCCGTGGCGATCGCTTACAGTAGTGATTATGGTGAGAGCGGACAGATGTTGAGGTTCCTGAGGCTGGATTCTGATGGGAACCTCAGGGCTTACAGTGTTCCGATAGGAAGCGCTAGCCCTAACGGTCCCAGTTTCTGACTTACCCGCCTGAGGTCTCCACAGAGCAGTTCTTTGTGGGTATCACTGCTTGCAGGCAGAATTGCCTCTCTGGAGGTTCTTGTGTTGCTTCCACTGCGCTTGCTGATGGTTCAGGGCTTTGCTATCTCAAAGTTTCGAACTTTGTTAGTGGTTATCAGTCGTCGGCTTTACCCAGTACTTCCTACGTGAAGGTTTGTGCTCCAGGTGCGCCTAATCCTCCTCCATCGGAATTGGGTCAGTCGCAGTCTAGGTCGTCGAAATTGAAAGCTTGGGTGGTGGTGGTTGTCGTTGCAGGCACAATTCTTGCTTTGATTGCGCTTGAATATGGGCTATGGTTTTGTTTCTGCCAGAACAGCCCCAGGTTTGGGCCATCTTCTGCTGAGTACGCTCTTCTTGAGTACGCTTCTGGCGCTCCGGTGCAGTTCTCATATAAAGAGATGCAACGGTCGACCAAGGGGTTTAAGGAAAAGCTCGGGGCTGGAGGTTTTGGTGCTGTTTATAAAGGAGTGCTTGCAAATAGGACTGTTGTGGCAGTGAAGCAGCTTGAGGGGATTGAGCAAGGAGAGAAGCAGTTCAGGATGGAGGTTGCTACCATAAGCAGTACCCACCATTTGAACCTTGTGAGGTTGATCGGGTTCTGCTCCGAAGGCCGGCATCGCTTGCTAGTGTACGAGTTCATGAAAAACGGCTCCTTGGACGGGTTCCTCTTCTCCGCGGAGCCGTCGGGAAAGTTAAATTGGGCGGCGAGATTTAAGGTAGCTGTTGGTACGGCGAGGGGGATCACTTACTTGCACGAGGAATGTAGGGATTGCATAGTGCATTGCGACATTAAGCCTGAGAACATTCTGCTTGATGAGAACTACAACGCTAGGGTCTCGGATTTCGGGCTCGCGAAGCTGAGCAACCCTAAGGACCACCGACACGGCACTCTGACTAGCGTGCGAGGGACTAGGGGATACTTGGCACCCGAATGGCT